GTAATAAACTAATATTCCAGCAGTAATTTGCTGCATTGCAAAGTATCTCCCTATTCACTGGGAAGCATTTGGTTTCTGTTACCTACTGTAAGTGTAGGATGCTGACCCCTGTGGAGTCTTGAATTGATAAGAAAGTTTAAAAGTATTTTTTTTTAATATTTTAATTTTTTTATATTTTAATTAATAATTTATAATTTATAATTTATTTTAATTAATTTAATTTATTTTTTAATTTATATTTATAAATTTAAATATATTTATATATTTTAAAAAAAAATTTATAAAAAAATATATATATAAATAAATAAATATAAATATATTATAAATTTAAATATATTAAATAAAAAAATAAATAAATATATTAAATAAATTTAAATATATTAAATATATAAATATAAATAAATATAAATTTAAATAAATTTAAATTTAATTAATTTAAATTAAATTAATAATTTAATTAATAAAAATTAAAATATTTTAATATTTTAATATTTTAAGTATTTTTAAGTATTTTTAAGATAAGAAAGTTTAGGAACATAGAGATGTTTTCTTGTTGTTGCTGACACTGAGGTGAATTGAGTGTCAGAAAATGAATTATTTTCGTTTTTGGGGCCCCAGCTTGCATTTAACAGATTTTCTCAGACTTATAAGGTTTTTATTTAAGTGCAAAGAGGGCTGACATAGTTGTTAGTATGTGAGCCACTTTCAGTGTACAAAATCAAAGGAAAGGAAGGTATCACCTCTGCATTTAGATGTCTAACCTTTCCTGCTTCTACTTCACTTTACATTGTTGATGATTAAAATGATGGAATATTGTCTGTGAATTCCATAGTTTCACACTGAAAAAGCTACAAATTTGCAATATCTAGCATAAGCTTCAAAACATAGGGGTTTTGTTCCAGGACTGTCCATTTCCCTTTCTTTTCTTTGTGTGTGTCTGCAACATTTCCATCACTATTTCACCTTGTAGGGCTATGGCTGCAATCCACAGAAATGCCACGAGTCTCTTGCAAAACCTGGACATTCTTTGTGGCTGTCTTCAAGCACAAAAATTTGTAACACATGCTCTAAGGCCAAATAGTTGGATTACTTTATTTTGCATGTCACCTATTCCTTGCTGCTTTTCTGAATATTCTGACATTTTAAAACCAGTCAAGTGGTCAGGAATGGCTTCACATTCCTCTTCCATTCACGTGGGAAGAAGCAATTTAGCAAATACTAAATGCAAGGGCCATCTTCTCATTATTTTCCCAGCTTTTACACACTTCCAATCTCCCATTACAGGTGAGATGAATTTTTGAGAGCTACCCAGTTTCCCCCTCATGGCCAGGTGCTGGGCAGCCTCCCTGTCTCTGTGTGAGCTGGCTGCTGTCCCTGTGCTTTGGCCTCGAGTACTCTCCCTGTTGAGCTGGAGCTGGAGCTGGAGTGAGAGCCCTGGGTTCCTCCTCTCTGCCCAGAGAGAATCCCTACAGGCATGGCTGGTATTCCAACAAGCAACTTTGTGGAGGTTCTCATACCTACAGCTGCCTTGACATCTCTTGCTGGCCCCTCCAGCAGAGAGGACATTGACCAATATGTGTAGAAACACAAGGAAGCTTCAACAAGATCTATGAAATTGCTGCGTTAAGCACAGGATGGCAGCTGTTATCTCTTGATATTTTTCCTATTTCTTCTGTTTTGAATCCTCTGAGTGTAATCCCAACAAAATGATTATCCAATGTGTATCCAGCCCAAAGCCTTTTACATTTCCCCCCACCTTACTTGGCCATAACCAAACTTGGAGTGTCAGCACTGGAAATCCCCCTGGCTTGGAATGGTGATAATACAGACACCAGCAATCTTCCTGTGTGAACCTAAGCTTCCAAGGGTCTCTTTCAGAAGTTCTCCCTTATATTGCTTGTAAGGATGCTGTGATTGCTTTTTCACATCACAGCATTTCTAAATATATCTCCTTTATCATCTTGATATACTTACTGAGATTTTTTTCCTTAAGCAAGCTGCAGGAAGGTGTGTTCAACTAACCACTAGGAATGTATTTTATTAAAGATGCCAGATCTTTCTGTAGGGAAGAAGGTTTGGGTTGGAAGTGACTCTGCCTTAGTATTCAAATGTATTATTTTCTGGTTTTTCCCCCAGAATACATCATGCATAGGCAGTTCATTTAAAGTGCTGTATACAATACCTGTTATGCTAGCTTGCTTAACCACAAGAAGGAAAGAAAAGACAAAAACTGTGTTGTTGAGTAAGAATAATCTCAGTTGCATGATCTCTTCTCAACTGTCGATTTGTCTGTTTTATGGCACTGTGAAGGATTATATTTGGAAGGTGGTTTTGGTTTGTTTTGGGGTTTTGGGTTTGGTTTTTTTTGCATTTTACTACTAGTCCAGATGACTAGTAGTAAAAAGTATCAAACAATGCCTGTTATCAAACAATGATATGTAGCTATTATGTTATAAGCCTTAATCTGATTTGATTGACAGTCTTACAACCACAGCAGGGAGTGATAAGACACATCCTTTGTGTGGGATAAAATGTTTATTTTTTTCTCAAAAAATAATCTTTTGTTAAAAGTTTCTATAAAACTTTAGGTGTTATAGTGGTTTTGCTGGTGTTTTTTGAGGGTTTTGAGGGTGTTTTTAATTTTGTTGGGTTTTTTGCCCTGTAGAAATTCTGTATCACTGTAGCAGTGACACAGTTAACACATTCTGGGACGTGCTGTCCTTAATTACAGTGGTTCTAATACCTGAACTGCAGGGCAGGTGTGTCTTCTGTCCTGCTGGATGGGTGCTGTACTCCATTCATTCAGATGGGAAACCCTCCTAGAAATGACCATGGGCTGCTGCCCACCCTGAATTTTCTCTCCAAGGAGGGCCTAGTGTGATGTCAGTGCCTGCTTATGGGTGTGGAGGGAAACAGAGAAAAAAAAGAAATCTTGTGCTGGAGATCTTTTGTTGTTATAGAAAGGATTTGGCCACAGAATGCACCCAGACTGCTCCAGAATCTGGTAAAATGGATGTAACCATTCAGATTCAAGCGTGAGCTTGAGCTTGACTTTGGTCTCTTTGCAGGATCAGAATCAAAGTAACACCGCCCTTAGACTGCTGGTAGTGGAAAGGGGGAAGGTGAGGATTTCAGGGAAAGTCAGCAAAAGGTAGCAGACTGCCCAAAGGTGCTGCTGCCAATGTGCTTGCAGAGGAACCTGGGAGAAAACAGTGAGCCCACTTCTCTGACAGCCACAGCAGACAATACCCTCAGGTGGCATAAACTGATGGTTTCCCATCAGAAAAGGTTCTGAGAATGAGTCAAGCACTGCCTGACAGAAAGATTACTTTTTAAAGGTTGTTCTGTGCAGAAGCAGATGGCTTGTTCCACTCCTGAAGTTTGCCTCGTGCAAGTGAGGAGGTCTAAATATGTCCTAAACTGCTGCTACTATTAAACTTCACAGATAATCCTCCCAACCTCTTGCAGACACTTCTGTCAAATTTAGATTAACATCTTTCCTTCAGTGTAGGTGAGGGCACTCCCGAATTGTACTGACAAGCAGAGCATTTTACATAACACACAGAACTCGGCAATTTTCTGTTTGTTTTCCTATCCAAGTGACTCTGTATGACAATGTGTGAAGTATGTGCAGATGGCAAGAACAGTTATGTTATCAAGTTTGTTTCCTCTGCCAGTGCTTACTGAAAAATAATTCCAGCTCCCTATCTAAAAGTATAAATAAACGATGAAACAAAATATTTTTTCTTTCCACTGGCAGAATAGACACTTCAAAGTTTTTTCCCAAAGCAGCTATACATGACTAAATGGGACAAGAAATCTTCTGAAGATTACTTTATTTGTCATTCATATACCTTTAACAGTAGATTCGGTTTATCCCCTAATTTTTTTTTTAATTCTAATTAGGTGTCCCATTATATTTGCTGTTAATTATTTGCATATCCTCTAAGCTGATAAAGATACAAAAAATGAGATGATTAATGAAAGAAAGCTTCATTTCACTGCACATCTGGATCTAGCCATGGCTGCTGAGGCCATTTGGCATGCCAGAACCAGCTTGGAAACCTCGGTTTGTTTGCAGTTATCCAGGAAATGTTTTGGTTTTGCACAGCTGAGAATGCTTAGTTTGTATTGAAGAAACTGAAAAGCACAGATGCAAGAAACTTTCCAAATTAGTTGATAACTCGAACCCCTTTTCATCAAGAACAAGAGGTTTGACTATGTTTTCAGTTTGCTTTTTAATGAAAAATGAAATAGGTGTGTTGAATAAAGAAACTAGATGATGCTGTAAGTGCAGCCATATTGGAGAGTTTTCAAAAAAATAAAAGGAAAATGAAAACATATGAGTATAGAAGAATAAAAATATGAAATATTTTTATTACTAAAAGAAGGAAAATAGCACTTCTGGATTCTTTTGTTCTTCTGAATACCTTTCCTTGAAAAGAAGATTCTATTTCTTGCATTTTTTAATGGGTGAGGAGTTGTCAGTACCCTTACAAAGGTTTTGTTTGGGTGGAATTGCTTTTTGTTAGTATTTTCACAGTCAAAGCATCACAGCTGAAGAACAATCTTTTCAAAAAGATAAAGGTAGAGAATAAAAAAATATCTACAAGGAAGTGGGATTTTTTTTGTGGTGTTGCAGTAAATGCATAAAATAAATATTAAATTCATTCATTTGTAGTACTCTTTGCTTTTACTTCTTTCTACTTTTCATTTTCTTTATATTCAAGATGATACTCATCAGTTCTTTTGTGAATACTGTGAAACATTTCTTTTAAACTCTCTATATACAGACAAGCACAGAAAAATTAACGGTTATTGTGAGGTATTGAACAGGAGAGACGAAAATTTTCAACTTCTATGGTGATATTCAAGTGGGATTCAGTAAACATCTGCAGTATTTTTCAAGTAATTCATAAAACAAGAATATTTCATTTATTTAAAACATGATGAACGCGAAATCTCTTTGTCCAATGTAGATAATTAAAAATGTAAATAAGTAAATTCAAAATTGTTTATTAACAGCTAAAATTTATATAAATGAAAAAGTTATTCAGTTCATCCAGGAGAGTCCATTGAGTTATTTGCTGAGACATTGCTGGCTCCACTTTAACACATTTTATTTTTGACATTTGCATGTCTTTGAACTTTGGTCAGTTTAAATGCTTGAGACATGATCTTTGCAGTCAGCTGATGCAATAAAAATAAAGATGCAGGATGTCATCACCTTGTCAAGCCCTGCAGCACTTCTCAGAGGTCAGTCATTCCCTTCCAGCTCCTGGTGGAAAATTCTCTCCCGAGATGTTGCTGTCAGTGGAGGATCAGGAGCCCGGAGGTGTGGGGGGCTGGAGGTGACGCTGTGCTCTGCTGCTGCAGCAGCCAGCAGAGGATAGGGATGGCTTTGTGCTCCAGGGAAACTTTCTCACCCTGGAGATTTTGCAGTGTGCTTTATACAGGTTTCGTGATTGATTTCCAGTTTATACAGGTTTCATGATTGATTTCCAGTTTAATCCCTGCCTGGGCTGTGTAGTGGGGCATGCAGCACGGCTGGCCAGGGCTGTCTGCCTGCAGAGGGAACCCAATTGCTGTCAGCAGAGGTTTGGGTTCTTTAGACAAAATTTAGGAGCATTTAGAGTGGAATAGCATGTGCTGTTCGATTGTGGATTCTGATTTTCCTTAGCCAACAGAGTAATAGCAAAAAAATGTATATCTCTGGAACTTTTAACTACTGCAAAATTTAAATTTTGATTTTGAGCTTTTTCTGGTAGTTACACAGGCCTGAAAGATACTTAACTAATGTAAATCAAGTGAATACCATTGGAGAAATTCTCTGTCTGAAATATTAATTCTACAAGTTAGAAACTGGAAGAGAGAGAATCCAAGATGACTGGTACAAAGCACAGCTTTCCTTGTCTGTGTACAGGTACATTCCAGAAGAAGGAGTTCAATTCTAGTTGAAACCACCAGTGGCAATAATTAAAAAAGCTGTTCATGATAATGCATTTCCTGGCACTTGGCCATCATGTCCCTTACATACATATACAGTAGGGTTGTGTTAGTTTGGTCTCCTAGAGGGAGAAAAAACCTCACTCATCAAGCAGAGATCAGGGACTATGAATAGGGAATATTGGTGTTTGGTCTTTAATAGGAATTGCATGGAGATCTTTAAGTTTAGGACAAAGGGAAATTGTGAGACTGCCTACAGGGACTGTATTTTCATTTACAAGAGCAGCACATAGGAAAAAGCTGCTAAATTTAGTCAAACAAGGCCCATTTCCCCAGAATGTAGAAATATTCACATGAGCCTGGTATCTCTCCACTGCAGTAGGGACCAGTGTGTATTTTCTAGTGTTTTTTCATGAAAGAATAAGCTGACCCCTTCTTCCTAAGGATTGCTTTAAAAACCTCTTTTGATCTAGTGAGTAACCATGTTCTTTATAACACTTGAGTGGATTTTTGCAATTGCTATGGATTTAACTAACTTTTTTTTTTGTCCAGTGGGAATAGGAAGACTGACTTTTAAGGCAGCAGAGCTAAATCACCACTGGATGCTTTTGATATTTGCAATTTATATTCTTATATTTTATAGCTAAAAATAGGATGTGAATCATGAGTGTAGGTAACCTTCATGTACTGGAGCTGATTTGCAAGGTTTAGTATCCCTGCAAAGAACTACAAACAGTGAAAATAGGATTTGTAATCCAGTGTGCCTAACTTTTACAATAGAAGAAACACCAAAAAGCATTCTCTTTGTGCTAACAGCCTGAACTTCAGCTGAATCAGTGCAGCAAATGTGAAACAGTTTAAGAAGTAAAACTGGATTTGCTGCACTCCAAGCTACATTTCTTCCTGTGTGAAAACACAAATGATTTTTTATAGAGTTCGTGGAAATATTCCATCCAATTCTGTCTAGAGATGTTTTTTTCCAGCATCACTAATGACAAGTTCCACTCACTTTTTGTCCTCTCTTAAGGAAAGATGAGCTTTACAGCTTGTCATATTGTTCTTAGCTCTAATTGCAACAGCTTGATTATATTTTAAGAGGTTTTAAGTGGACAAATCCCGTATTCTGCATTTTTGATGGAATTGCTCTTCCTTGCCTTATAGGCATTTAAGATGAAATTCCACACTCCTTCCATCCTGTGTTAACCTGTGATATAAAAAACAAACATAAATAAATTCATTCATGTATTTGAAATTCTCATACCTGTGGAGGAAAATTTAAAAAAAAAAGGTTTAATGAATATTACATTTAGCATGAATTCTGAGTTTGCACTTTAGAAGGGTGAAATAAATGTAGTTACCAAACCACAGACAATAAAACAGGCTGATAATACTTTTCTAGATTATACACTTTCTTGTTATATTATACTCCTACATTTCATAGAAAACACGCACTAATGGAATTTTTGCCATTATTTCCTGTAATTGATGGACAGAGAATAAAGAATTGTAGATATGTTTTCAAGTTATTCTTTTGGTTTCCATTATGATATATTGGTGTTTAGACTTTTGATATAAGCTAGTATTTAAGTATTATTTTTTGCCTAGCTTTAGTAAGGAGGAAGATAAGTAATTACAGCAGAGTAATTTTTGACAAATAGAATTTAAAAGACAGTTAAATAGAAGTTCAATAAACAGCAAAATAATTAAATTTACCATGTGAGTTTTATATTATGGATGAAAGTATAAAGTCATCCAAAGTTAAACAATAAAATCTACTATAATGCAAAAGACTTACTTTTTGCTCAAGTTAGAAAATTAATCTTAATAAAGAGTTGAAAATGCCAAAGGATCCATATATGTAATAATGAAATAAGTTAATATAAAAAATAAATTGTTGAAGAACTGCTTGAAGAACAAACTTGTGGTAATGTGCATGAAATCAAAATGTTATATGCATTGTAACACAATTTTTCTCTAGCAGGATAAGCATACTCCTAAAATAATCTTGTTCAATCAGCTGGTCAACGTGATGCATTTTCTTTAGAAAAAAACAGTTTGGTGTATGCTTGGAAATGGAACAGCTAAAAATAATTGAAATAGCTCCATACCTGTGGGTATATTCTTGCTGCAGGAGTCCTTATGTAAGCTATTTTATATTTCAAGTTTCCTTCTTTGGCAGCACAATGAAGTGTCCCTTGCTGTCCCTCTGCCCCGTGCTGTCGTTCCCTGTGTCCCTGCCCAGGCAGGGCAGCCCCAGGGGCTCAGGGCTGGCTGGGTCCCAGCCCTCCTGGAGCTGCCAGGGGACAGCTCAGCCTTGTGAGGGCTGCTGGAGGGAGTCCCTGCCTGTGGCACCACCTGCAATACTGAGTGCCACTGTCCTGGCTCAGCTGGCACTTCTGTGCCAGTGTGAGAGGGGAGGGCACCAGAGGTCTAGGGTAATAAGAGTTTTCCAGAATAACTTGACATGGATTTATTTTAGAGGTTAAGGACTTTCTGACATGGGTGATTTTTTTTTTTTTCTGTACAATTCCATCTCTGCAGGTAGATAAATAAATGTAAATTAAAAAAATTTCAAGTGTACTAACTTAGGATCTGGAAAAGCTGTACATAAGAAAGGCAGGAAGAAACCCTAGGATATTTGCTAGAGAGAATGAACCTTTCTTAAGCTAATAATTTCAGTTTATCTTAGTTGTTATTCTTAATTACTTAAAAATTTCTTAGCATCATGAGTTGAGTATTATACTACATTTTAATCTCTTCCTTGCTTCATTTTTATATTTAAAAAAACTCTCATAATGTTTTTAAAGAATTGTCTATGAGTTTCTATTGAACTGGTCAGGAGCTATAGAAGATATTGGTTCTGCATTAACTCCATAATGATGTGACAGGTCGGTATGATTCATAGTAAACTTAAATTATGTTTAATATAGATAAAATAGCTTGTTCAAGGTTAAATAAAATACAGCTAGGGAAAAACAAAAGTCGTGGGGATTTGTCTCAAAGAAAACCAGAAACTAAAACCTCCTGTCTAAATTATGAATATTTGAATTGATTAATTCCTTAAAATGTCCTCCTATTCAGTGTTATATTGTTTTAGTTAGGGGAGATGCAGAGAATACTGCACAGCAGTGATAATTACTTGAGATTAAACACTACCACCAGAGAATTGAAACAAAGGCTGATTTACCAGATCAAACCCACTAGCCTTTATTGTGGAAAACAATGCAGCCCTCTGTCTTTGTCTTACAGCTCACTTTTCTTTCAAGCAGATTAGACAATTCCTTCTCACAGCCTTTCAATTCTAATCACATCCATTTTCCATTTCTCCCTTTTCATGTGCTCTTTCTGAGAAAACTGACTATAAATGATCTGACTTTACCCCAGCCCTTGGCTTGCCTTCCCTTCCCCTCACAACTCTGCCTTTTATCTCTTGGCACTGGATGTAGAAGTTTCTTGCCTGCACAGTGTCTGATCTTATCCTCACCAATACCCCAGTGACCTTCATCTAATTCATCTCAAAATCTCTCCTGTGTTCCTGACTTTCCCTCCCTTATCATTCTCCTGAAAATCTCTGGTATTTTTTTTATTGCCACCATCATTGTAATGAGGATGCTGCTCAATTAAACCTTGTGGCCCATGCAAGTATCCAAAATTCGTCTTTTGTTTCTACGCTTGTCCAGCATTTCCATTGCCATTTATCTGGAGATAGTGGAGTCAGTTCCTGTGTCTTGATTTCACCGAAACCCCTAAGGAGAAGAACTAGTTACAAAGCTTCATTCAGGCAGATTCAACCACTTCTCCTTACACATACCACGTCTGGCAGAGCTGTCCCAGAGCACAAGGTCACCTGCTGTCCCTGCCTGGGCTGCTGGCAGAGCCACAGCTCTGTGTGCTGTCTCCACCTGCCCACGTACAGCCAGTGTTTGTTCAGAACAGTCACCCAGGACCCTTCTTGCTCACCACCAGGCTCTCATTTGCATTATTTCCCTTTTGGCTGTGCAGAAACCCTGCCTTCTGTTGGCTCTTTAGGCCACATTGTGCATATCACCCCTCACCTCTGACTTGCAATATCCAGGCCCTGTACGTGTTCCATCTCCATTGCAGAAAGAAGTCACTACATCTGTCCATGGGTGTAAATGCCAAAATCTTTGCTTGTATTTGCTTTTGGTGCCACTTTCCCCTACAAAGATTTTTCTCCTGTCTTGTTCCAGCCAGTTCCTGTTAACCCCTCTCTGTGGAAACATTTCCTCCCGAGCAACCTGATTTTCCACAGTGTATCCATGTGCATTCTCAGCTGCTTTTGAACTATCAAGTCTCATTTTCTTAGCCCAGGTTATTCCTTGTTAAAACCCACAAACACATATTTTTCTTCTTGCCATGCTTCTGCATATTCTTGGAAAATTTACATGCAAAATACCTCATTAATTCCTTTCAGATACTGCTGTAAAGCTACATGTTTTTACTGTCCTGGTTAAAATAGTTTTGACAGTGTTAAATGCAGAAGTGTGCCAAGAGTTCTTGTCACTAACCAGTTTTTGTCTTTGTGTTTTTTTCATTCAGTTTTTCTTAAAATGAGACTGAAAGCTGTTTAAACCAGATCTCCATTTTTAATGAGCTGATTCGCAACAGAAGTTTGTGGGGGATTTTTTGCACTTGGAAAGAGAACTCTTTGTAGTAGCATTCTTTTCAATCTTGCAAGATCACCCTCTCCTTCCCCCACTCCCTCACTCTTTCCTGATAAGCAAGAGCTTAACTTTCACATCTGCATTTCTCATTAAGACCTGACTGTCCCCATGAGAAGCTCAGAATCTCTCTATTTCTGATAGATTAGAAATCTAGCAGATGCAATTATAAAGCAGATGATAATAAACTGTTTGATGTCAAAGCCTTTGAAATTGTTTCATTTCCAGTCATCCTTACATTCAGTTTCTTATTCCCTTTTTCTAAAGTGCATTTTCTTGAAGTAAGGATATTTTCTTGTCACCGTAAGGCAGATACCCAGAAGTTGAACATAATGTGTTTATCTTTCTCTGAGTTTCAGCAGGCTGTCAGTTAAAAAAAAAATCAAATTTGAAGACTGTAATTTCTCGGAGGTCTTTAATTTTGTTTTTAGCAGTCTGCTTCATTTCTAATTTCCATTATTATTTCCCTCTGGTGATGCCTCCACAGACCTACAAAAGCAGAATATAAGAGATGAGCTGAATATGGAAGATCTCCAGTGCCTTTGGAAAAACAAGCATAATTCTCTCTCCAACAGCCCCAAACAAACAGTAACATACTGTTTAGGTATGATTAGGTGTAGCCTCACAATATTTCTGTGTGAAAGAAAACAGCTAAAAAATAACTATAAGCAGTTTGGATTAATCATAGTACAGTTTTTATGTCTGTAAAGACAAATGTACCAATTTTCTGCTGTTTCTTAGGTCTCATTTCTGGTACATTTAAAAAAGTTAGTACTGTGTACTGTATTCTAGAAAGAAATGTATGGGGAAGCTCTGGCTACTTTGTTCTCGTTATCTGAAGTTAATTTTTGTTTCTTTATGAGGAGAAAAAGCCCTGATGCATGGTCTTCAGCAAACAGGGTTTGTAACATTGGAATTGTGAGTTCATTCCAGTATAAACTTATACTGAAAGACAGCCTACAAGATGAAGTTTCAGGATTTTTTTATTTTTTTTTTTAACCACAGAAGTTTCAGAAGATATACAATATCTGTGCTTTTGTTCTAATAGAGAAAGAGAACATCCTGGTGAAATTATAACAGAAAATCTATTATTTCATAGATCCAAAACTTGCCCCCTCAGGAGGCATGTTCAACTACTAATTGGTCTTAAAGCCTCCAATTTGGATGCTTCCCCTAAAGAATTTACTAGGTCCAGCCAGGGCTGCACACATCCCAGCCTGCACTACAGTTTGGGCTCCAAGTCTCCATTCTCATGGCTCTGCACTGTTGGGTAAAAGAGGGAGAACAAAGATGTCTATACACGAATCTCACTTAAAAATGGTTCCAGACTGTGGAAGGATGCTGTATTTTGTACCTTGAGCTTGGGCCAAAAATCAATGAAAGCATCAGAATTCCTAACACTGTTTATGTTGCCCCAGATATCAGCTGGCTTTTCTTTCAGGTGTCTGACGTGGTCAGTTCAGTCCCATGTCTTACTGCTCACGTTCACCTTAGAAGATGATTGATTCTGTTTCAGAAAGGTTTTTGTTCCTAGAAGGTGTTTCTTCCCCTGCAAGATGTCTGTCAGCCTGATGGAAATTCAGCCTCTGCCCCTAGACTTTGCCTTCCTTGAGGCACAGACCCTGAGGGCACCGATGCTGTATTTTGTACCTTGAGCTTGGGCCAAAAATCAATGAAAGCATCAGAATTCCTAACACTGTTTATGTTGCCCCAGATATCAGCTGGCTTTTCTTTCAGGTGTCTGACGTGGTCAGTTCAGTCCCATGTCTTACTGCTCACGTTCACCTTAGAAGATGATTGATTCTGTTTCAGAAAGGTTTTTGTTCCTAGAAGGTGTTTCTTCCCCTGCAAGATGTCTGTCAGCCTGATGGAAATTCAGCCTCTGCCCCTAGACTTTGCCTTCCTTGGGCACAGACCCTGAGATGGCCATGACAACAGCCCTGGTAGAGCTGCCAAGCTGCTGTGTATGGAGCGTGTCTCAACAGGGGTGGCTTTACCAGGACCAAAGCAAGTGTGGCTGAAGAGCTTTCACTCTTGCAGACACTGCTGTAATAAATGCTCCTTCAAAGAACCCAGTTCAGTGCTCTGTCTGCACAGTGGGTTTTCTAATCCAACCCAAAAATTTGGCCATATGAGTACCTTGCAGTGCCTTGTCAGGGAGTAGGTCTCAGAATGTGTCTGCACTAACAAAGATATCAAGTTTAAAAGACAGGCTTCGTGCAGCCCATGATCTGAATGAGTTGACAATAAATAATTCCAGTAGGAATGTTTTTCTAACATTTTTGAGAACCACAAGGCCTCTTGAAATATCTCACAATCTAGATAAATGGTTATAGAAGTGCAATAAAAGTATGTTTGTTGCCCAAATGATCTTAAATATATTTTCCAAAAGTAGGTTTCTGTCCAATTATGGCTATGACATTTGCTTTTTTTCTGTGCTTATTAGGAATTGCTATTTGCATGTATGTGTTATATGATCTATAGAACATCTCTGATTATGTGAAACAAACGAATTTTTTTTTAATTCCTGGCTTAAAATGCTCCCTCATTCACCTTTCTCTCAAGATGTGACATTAATTAATTCTATAAAGGCCTGTCATATCAGTTTTATTTTA